TACATTGTTAGAAACATCATTTAACCTTTAAAAATCAACCCTATAACTGAAGGGGTATTTTATCCAATGTTGCAGAACTGGGGTAAATTTGCAAATATCTAGGTTGGCTTTTTTTGGGGTTTTTTTTTTTGGGGTGGGGGGTGGGGTTTGGGGTTGCGGTTAATTTGAAAATATAGAAGATTTGAGGGGTATATTTGAAAATATAGAAGATCTGATGGTATATATGCAAATAACGTTTTTCTAAACCGTTTAGTATAAAATATGCTAATCAACTATGGAGGAAAACTAAGAGGCTGTGGAAACCACCAAACCTTTAACAGTCTATAAAAATCTATTCTAGTGAGCGAAAATCCTAGATCATTATTGTTAAACTCAAAAAACTAGTCTAAAAGAGCATAAAGTTACTGAATATACGAAATCATGATTTGCGTCTTCAACATAAGCCATAATAAACAGAGATTGAACAGCAAATAAGAGTTTGGTAGTTGCTTTTGCTTACTGGAGATAAGACATGACCTTTGTAGACATAAGACTGTTCTGCTTAACTTCATGGTATATTTGTTTACTTATGATTCTTCTCCTCCTTGTGTGTGAGTGGGTTGATACGACAGTGAGTGTTGGTAGTTGGTGTATCTGTTTGACAAAATGACAAAGTTATTTTTTTTATTTTTTTGTTTTTTTTGGGTGTGTGTGTGTGGGGAGGGGGGTGTGGAGGGATTGGGTTGGGCGAGGTTTGTAGGCTTAATAATGACATAGGCAAACAATAAAATGCCAAGTATTTGTCTCTTGTTCACTATTTACTTGGTATGTAAAGATAGCATCACCTGCTCATATGTTGTTTCAAGGAAGACTATTGTATGATTGAGGGCGTTCTCAAGTCATTTTCTCCAAAGTTGTATCTTTCTTGGACTATTTCTTATAGTAAAAAATTTATAACTTCTACCACAGCTGTGTTATTTAGAAATCAAAATTATATTCCTTCTCTTTTACTCAATACTACGGTTAGCATTGCCCTTGTGTTCTTTGTTTTAAATCAGGTTTATGGCACTCTTTATGACAGTCAATCGTGTCCCAAGAGTTGGTTTCGAAAGTATGAGAAATGCTTAACACCTGTAGGACACAGTACTTGTAGTTTACCTAAGATTTGTATTTTAGAGATTTGTTTTATCCTAAGATTAATTTTACTCACTATAGCCCTGTGATCTAATAACACAGGACACTCTAGTGAGTTAAAATTTTAATAACATGTTTGGTTCAATTTGTTATTAATACCTCTAATGCCTATGTTCTATGTGGAAATTTGTCATTATAAAGTGGTATAAGATTAGAACATAATAGCAAATGTCCAGAATACCCGTCAACCTACTAGTCATGGACTTTAGCTAACTCTAACTTAGTTGTAGCTATGAGTTGAGGTGTACGATAACGACACTTTCTAATTAGTTAAATGTTGTTATAGAAGACCCTCTGTTATAATAACAAACCTAAGTTATGCAACACTTGTTTAATATCAGCTTCTTCTATCATAGTCTTTTAACTTTCTAAATACAATAATGCTTAAAAAAACCAACTTAGGCACACATAATCAAATTCCCTCGTGAAGCCAATAGAACCCAAACTACATGCTGCAGGTTGTAGATGCCTTCATTTTGTTTTGACCTTAGTGTTTTATTACTACTGACTGCAATAACAAATTGATCAAAAAGACCTGACAATATATTTCAAACCATGGAGTAACATTCAAGAGATGCTCCGGTTCTGATTACTTTTTTCCAGTCAGAGTGATTGTCTTTCGATTATTTTATTCGGTACAAAGACCATAACAGGTGAAGGAAACATGTAGATGGAAATCTAACTAGTTTTTATTTTATTCGGTACATTACCATAACAGGTGAAGGAAACATGGAAATCTAACTAGTTTTTAGGAAAGTTAACTGGTAGGAGAGTCTTCTTGGGTCTAGTTCCAATTGGTAAATTGTCCCAAGACTACAATAACACCCCCTTCGCCTCCTTTATTTAGTCCAAAATCTCAGGACTATTTTGAACCGATCACTTCACTATTTTATTTTAAAGGATAAAGGCTTATTTCCTCTAAATAGTATCCAATCCAAACATGGTCTAAATTCTTACTTTTATGTGAGGCCGCAAAATCTTCATATATCTAACGTACTCCACCAAATCTCTTTAAGTTGTTTTAGATAATAGTAAAAGTGACTAACTCTATAGAAACCTAATCAGGGATGCTGTGTAAAAGATCCTAACACATTAGGTGTAGTACAATATTAAGATTTGATGGGCCTAATATAAAATTAATAAAAAAATTTAGGGTCTAATTTGTCAAAAGCCTTCATATTTTCAGGACACGTCAACTTTTCTGATAATTATGCAACTTGGATAGAAATCTCATATGTCATTCTTTTTCTTCTATTGATTAAGAAACTACAGTAACATTTAGTAAGAATAGTTTATGGAAAATTTTCTGAAGAACTGTATATGGATAGTTATTTTAAGAATCACATACCTCATTTAAAATGTAGAAAACATAAAAAAAATGATTGTTGAATGAAGAAAAAAAATTAAGTGTAATGTTAAAAATGATTTTCACTTAAGAGTTTAGGTGTATTATACATAGAAATTTTCATCTGTACATACAAATATCAAATGTAGTGTATTTATGTCGACATATATATATATAGTATATATATGATATATATATATATATATCATATATATATATATATATATATATAATATACTATATATGACGAATTTAATGGGTATCCTTGTGCAGTATGGAGGGGATTTCCTCCTATACCCTCGTAAAATCACATGATTGGCGACATTATGGATTGATCTCGCTCCGTTGAAATCTTGATCTACATATTCTAAACCCCAAACACGTACCAAGTTTGGGTGAACGCGCCGTCGTTCGGTTGATCCTCCTATCTGAGCCATGGTGAAAAGTTCTGAATTCATGAATACCGTTAAAATTGATATAGAAGTGGATGAAGGGTCAAACGACGACGGTTCACCCCCAGAACTTGGGTGTTGGAGTTCTTATGAATATGTAGATCAAGTTCAACGGACCGGATTCATCCACAATGTCGGCCTCGATATCATGTGATTTTAGCGGCGTCAATAGAGGAATCCCCTCCTAATGAACATAGGCATACCCATAATCTCTCACCCGCTTGTCTCTCTCCTCTCTCGTCTATATATATATATATATAATATATATATATATTATTATATATATATCTATATAATATATAATATATATATATTCCATATTCTTCTCAGTAATTATACTCCATGTCCACAAGGTTTAAGATATCGGTTATCAAAAATATATTGAACAACCAAAATTCATATCAGAATTAGATTATTTGAGATATATCAGGGATAAGTAGTAAAAATCAGTGTCATATTGAATGGTAAGCATATATAATATAATGTTCTAAAATGTAATCTAAGCACATTTAATGAACCGTTAACAAACTCATTACTAATAAAAATGAATCAATAACTGACTCACAAAGAATATTCTCTGTTCAAAATTAAATAAAAGTATATAATAATCTCTATTCAAAGGAATCAGTCATAATTACAAAGAATCAGTTAGAAAGAATAATCAGTCACAAAACATAATCTCTGTTCAAAATTGTTAACCATAGTGAATCATGCGTCATTAAGTTATACAATCAGGGAATTAAATTAATATATATACTACTCATCACCAATCAGATTAGAGTCCAGTCTTAGAAGTCTGACCCGAAAATTTCATAAAACAACACACCCCAAAATTCCGTACCTGGCTTTCACGGGTGAGGGTCAAGGCTCGAGGATGGTTGTCAAGCTTTGAGGGTCGTCAAGATTCGAGGATCGTTGAGCTTGGAGCGTCGAGGATCATTGAGTGAGAACTGCGGAGCTTTGAGGGAGAGTCGTTGAGCTTCTCTAGGAAGCTTGCGAGCGCTTTAGGGGAGAGAAGGAGGCAGAGAGGATTAGGGTTATGCACTGGGTAGATGGAGAATAGAATAGGACACCATTGTTTTTTTAGTGGGTGGCACGTTGAGTATGGAAAAAAGGGTTTTTGTTCTCCAAATCTGAACCAGTATTAGAATGTAAATTTTAGCAAAAATTGGGTGATTTTGAGCCCTTGAGAAATTGGCCGCTTTATCAGCTTTACATCAATATATCGGGAAAAGTTGGCCAAAACATATATGCGATGAATTTTTGTAGAAATTGTATCGGCCCTGGTCTAGACCTGATTTATTGGCTATTAATTAATAAAATAGGTTGATTTCTAAAACCTAGCGCACATCATATCCCATTTGATGTCTCATTTCTTAACTATAATTTGGGCCCTCTACAACAACAACAACCACGCCTTTGTTCTAAATGTTTGGGGTCGGCTACATATGGATCCTATTTTTTTCATTCCATTCTGTTATGAGTCATCTCATCCGTTAAGTTAGTCCTAATCATATCATTATTAATTGCTTCTAACCAAGTCATTCTAGGGCTACATCTAGATCTCCTAGTCCCATTAACTCTAATATTATCGATTTTTCTAATCGGTGCACTAAGGTGTCTCCGTTGTACATGACCAAAACATCTTTATCTATTCTCACTTATTTTATCCTCAATAGGAGCAACCTCTAATTTACTACGGATGCACTCATTTCTTATTCTATCTTTTAATGTTTACCCACAGGACCATCACAACATTCTTATTTCTACTACACTCATTTTTTGATATTCTAAAATTTGTACACATCGATTGAGACTTTGCTTCACCAATTTAAAAGACATAAAAGGCATGAAGCGTATTATTGGTTTTTTTCCCCTTCACTCAAACATGATAGAGCTTATTATCTCTCTTTTGAGTTTTTAACTAGCCTGCCTCATTTTGACCCTGTGAACTTTATTTTCATGTATGTAATTATCTGCATGCATGTATTAGTTACCCACTGATACTGATCCCATTGTGTTACTTGCAGGAAGTGGAAAAATCATTCTCCTTTTGGGGCACCCCTGAGGGGGATATTGTCCATCCAGCCGAGTGCATGCATCAATTACTTGAGCAGGTTCGGCAGCATAGAGTCAATATTGATGGCAATGTTTGCACTGTGATGGTAACAATGCTGGTTCTGGAGGTAATCCCTTGTTCCTTTGTGACATCTATGTTTGTTTGCACATTTCTTTGCTCCATGTTATGTGGTTTCTGCATGGTGAGTGTCGGAAATTTTTGTTGTTTTTTTAATGTTCAAATTGTGTATTTTAGATTCGTATGATCTTGGTAGAATTTTCTTGTTGTGACAGAATTTAATTCATAACATCTCATTTTTTTTCTTTTATCCTTTGCCACAACTTGCAACTGAATGAGCTGGATTAGTAAATTGAATTGATCAAACTGGTACCTGATATTTTTAATGGTGAGTAGTGTTATAAATGTCTGATACCAAATCTATGGCAGATGGAAATATTCCATGTGGATGACATATATAGGCATATTTAGTAAATACTGAATGTCATTTTAAGGACACATCCTAAATATCCAACATAATCTCTTAATAAGGCAGTACATTGATCATATAAAACTAGTGTTGATTATACAGTTAAGTTTATTTAACTGGAATTTAAATAGGATTCACTTCATGGAATCAACGTCATCAGCAAATCAATTTATTTGGTAGTTTTTGATAAATATATACACATCAGAGAGAAATTTCAGTTGTTTTATCTAAGGCAAAAACGATGAAAGAGGGAGGATAGTTTTTTACAGTAAACTAGGTGAGTGGAGAATTCAGCTATTTATTTAATGGAAAACAGTGAAGAAATCAAGAGGGAAAATTTTCAAGTTGTTATTAATGATCACTGTTGTTCTTGCTGCTGTTGTGATTGCTGTCATCATGGCTGCTGTTGGTTAGAAAAAATCTCCCTAAACTTCCACGAATCCCCCAGCAGTGTTAATGGATCAATATGCTAATAATCAAAATAATGTCTTATGAGGCCATTAACACTGTAGGGGTCCTTGGGAAATATGAATGTTTAAGAGGGAGGGAGGGAGGGAGGGAGGGAGGAGGGGGTTGGGTTGTGAGACAACCAAAAGTTTTGGGGAATTTACCGAAATAAAAGCTCAGGGGGATTTGTTGGAAATGTTCAAGTGTTCAATGTGGGGGTTGTCAAAAATTTACCATTTACTTTTCTACTAGTTCTAGTTTGTCTAGTAATCCAAAATAAATAAATAAATAAAATCAACAATATATGTGTGGTTAGTGATTATGATGAACACAAAAGGTATAAATATGTTTTATCTGGTATAGGCTTAGCTTCCAACTCTTAATTAATTACACAAGATCAAGGAGAAACATCCATGCATTCATTTTACCGATTTTGTGCAACTTGCAGGGTTGGCAGCGCAAGCTGGATCCAAGTTATGATGTGATGCACACACTACAGACTTTGCTTTTTAAATCTGATTGGGCTGTCTCTCTCAAGTACACAATTGACGGTCTCATGGCACCCTGAGTGTATTTCTTTACCGCTATCTCTACAGTCAGTAAAAGTTTGCATTCTAGAAGATGTTAAAATTCAATTTTGAAAAAAGTTTTGCCTCTTGTTTTTCAAGTTGTGCTTCCACTTGATACCAATTTTGTTTTTTGAAGTCATTAGGATGATTTTTGTAATAATACGAAGGTACATTTAACTTGTCCTAATTCTTACTATACGATATCCCTCCGCATATCAAGTTCATTTTTGCTCTGGATCTGAAACATACATCATAGTCGTAATGTATTCTATGTACCGAAGATGTTCAATAAAACCATCAGATGTTTTGGCATGACAAACTGAAACTTGACAGTTCCGTTGCTTACATTTGTCCGCTAAATACATTTGTTGGTTGTGGATGCATAGTAAATTCGGGTATACCTCCCTTTTTTATAACTATGATGAATTTTGTTTTTGTGGTTTTACTTGTAAGGAAATGCTTGATTACGAGATGGACTGTGTTAATTGAGAATCGAATTCAGGTTTGGTAGTTCTTCGGCCTAGAAAGTTGTCAAATTGTTTGCTTGTGTCAAGCTTCGAGGATTATTTTTGAGATTCTGTATATTACACGCATTATACGATGCTGTTTCCTTAGCTATCTGGGGGTGACGACTAGTCCTGGGGGCCCCTTGGCAACTCCGCTGCTAACCCGGCTAAGGGCTAAAAATGTTTTTTTGGAAAACCCAGGTTAGTTATTTCTAGCAATATGTTCCACAAGCAACTAGTCCAAAGATCAGATCAGTCTTTTCTAATTTTCTCACAAGATTTTCTTCCGTCCACCCCTCACCCATCGGTGCAAATTTTGATTATATACTTAACCGGATTAATGAGTAATTGCCAAACACAACTTTTGGTCCTTCACAGAAATCAATAAATGTTGTTTTAGCTTTTAGGCAACGGGACTATTTAAAATATGGTCGCTTAAAAAGGTCTCCTTTTAAGAAAAACATTATTTTTGTCCTAGATTTCATATGAAACTCCAGTATCTTCTATTCTACTCATTTATTGTACGTCCTTTTGGTAACCATTTGAAGCTCAAGGGACAAATTGAAGCCCAAAACAATCAGTTCAAATTTGAAATCTCTAGGATGTCATTCCTTCAGGATTGTTTTGTATGACTAGGATAGTTGTCCTAGAATCTAACATTCTTGGCTTTGGATTAAGACTAGAATTTTCTAATTGGAGTCTTGAACTTCTTAGTGGGATAGATATTTAAAATTTTTGGGTTGGACTTCTGGACTAAAGCGTGGATTCTCAGACTAAACCTTGATTTTACGAACTATTTGGATTAGACTTGGTACTAATTTGTATATTTAAACATGTAAATATTAAATATATTAAAAAATTTATAACAGATAGTTGACATCAAATATTTGACTGAGTTAATTATAAATATTTTTATTATTTTATATTTATGTTTTAAATAATGTGTAAGGACCCCACCCTGCTCTGAGTAAATTTCGACCTTAGATCCTAATCGAGTAGTTATGTGCTGTTAGATTTTCTCAAGTTCTAAGATCATGACACGTGTCACCATGCCTTTTAGCTTCTAGTGATTATCAAATTTTCTTTTATGATTTTTCAAATTGGGGTTATGATTGTTAATTATGAGTTTTGGGTTCCATAATGCTTTGGACCTTAGAGATAGGTTAATGAGCTGTTTATGCTAATTAAGCTTAACTAGTTTCAGACCCGTGCGATGTACGGATTTGTTTAATATATAAAAATTAATGTAACAAAAGAATGTAAAGTAAAACAGTAATAATATATAAATAGTCAGAAATGATACAATCTAAGTTGCATATATAGTTTGGAAATTAGAAAGTTTAGAAAACTTGAATCAGTTTAAGATCATATATAGTTTGAAAAATGTAATTATGTAAAAACGGTATTTAGAAATATGACGGGGGTTATTTTATTATTTAGAAGGTAGAAAAATTCAAAATTAAAGTGAAATGTCAAAAAAGTACCAAAATTGGGTAAACTTTAAAAAAATTAAAAAATTGAAAGGTTTGGAAAAATGTAAACATGGGAAAATAATTTTTAAACATTTTGTGCGAGTCATTTCAATATTTAAACTGTTATAACTTTCCAAAGAAATTGGTAAAATAAAAGTGTAATGTCAAAAAACAAAGAAAATATAATACCTATCATATAAGGGGTGTATGACATCCACCTGACGAAAATAAGAGACAATGTAATACCTAAATCAAATAAAGTCAGTGTAAGAAAATTGTATATGATTGCAATTTAAAAACATCATCAAACCATAAGAATACGACATAAGAAGTACTCAATTAGTTAAATAAAATGTAACTTTCACATGCTCTATATAAACATAAGAAAGAACAAAAATATTGAAGTGAAATGCATTGCCATTGGAGAAAAATAACAAAACATAATATAAGAGAAATACATTCTAGTAAGATTATATTGAGTTCATCACTTACCAATAGTAAAGATAAACAAAGAAACAAACAGATCTGAAACAGAAAAATATAATTATATAGAAAGTACTATGAGATATATGCAAGGATATATGAGCTAACACAAGATGATATATCCTATCAAAGAGATATACAATATGATATATGTATAGGATATGTAAACTAACACAAGGGGTAAACAATCTAAACAAGATAGTGGATGATATAGAAATGAGCAATGCACAATGGCGATATAAGATATGAACATAAATATGAATGAACGCCAAAGCACACTCAAACAAGCAATATGATCACGGAGTTCGGACCTTCCGTCCTACGTCTCCGCTCCCCACTCCCGGGGAGAAATCCACTAACACAATCCGGTTTGGAAGCCGGAACTTCTTCTACACACTCGGTTTACAAGTTCACCGAAAACTCTCACACAACAAACACTATGCAATCACACTCTACACCCACTAAGTGTTGGACCTAGCCGTGTCTCCCTCGAGTGCTCGGTTACAACCTCTCTCTAGGCACGTCAACCGACGTCACTCCTCTTGGGACGATCCCTGACTCTCACCACACACTCCTCACTCGGTGTACAAGTGTATTACAAAGTGATTCTCACAATAAGCACAAATATAACAAATGATTGTTCTCAAAACAAGGTGAGAACTCAATTAAGCACAACTCTTAGTCACAAACCCACAACCCCAAATTATACTATGAATGTAAATACAATAAGCTCAATAGGTTGTGTGTGAAAACTCAATGTAGTTCTAGCTAAATAACAATGATAATCAAATATATAAAATAGCTAGAAATAGAGTTTAGAAAACTTCTCAATATATCAAGAGTTGGAGGGAGAATAGTTGAACGCCCAAACACCAATAGATGATCTCCTCAAACTCTTGTAGAATTGAATCACAAAACCGAAACACTCAAATGCTTAAAAGCTTCTTAAAACAAACTTAAACAAACACGAAACAAGTTTAAACCCTTGTTAAAATCTTTTAAACCATTCTCTTGTTAGTAGGAGAGCTGAAGGCAATGGGGTATTTATACCCTCTCAAAACTCAGTCAAAAACTCAAACAAAATGACCAAAAAAACATTCTGCAACGGCTCTAAAAAGAGCCGTTGGAACTACAGCGGTCGACCGATGAAAATCGCGGTCGACCGCGAACAAGGTCAGAAACTCAGGAGACATCCAGAGAGTTCGTCGGTCGACCGGCGGAAAATTTCGGTCGACCGGCGGTACTGTAGCAGGTATATCCGATTTTATAAAATCAGTTAAAAATAGTAAAACAGCTCCAAATAAAAATATGTTAGAGAAAGAATTTCTGAAAAATCATTTCCCAGTTGAGAGAAATAAATGTTTGAACACAGAAATACAGTTTCTAAAAATCTGCTGTGATACACGATTTTGTAAAATCAATTAGGCACAGTAAATCAACTCCAAAAATAGTAAAATTTTGAGGAAAGTTTCTAAACATGTAGATAAACATGTCAAACAAAGAATTTCTTGAATATCATTTCCCATTTATGAAAACTCATCTATTTTGTAAAACATGCACGAACATGCACGAATAAAAATTATGATTTTGTAAATTCCATTAAACATAACAAATCAATTCCAAACTTGATGAAACTTTGAGAAATGTTTGTAAACATGAAAACAAACATATTAGAAAAAGAATTTCTTAATTTACATTTATAATTTGTGAAAAACACTGTATTCTGCAAAAGCACTAAAAGACGTATATATGAAAAAACATGTGATTGTTATTTTTGACTCAAAACAAGTTTTGAAAACTTATGGAATATTTATATGGACATAATAAAAGTTGTTTATGATGTAAATATAGTCCAAAACTTATTTTGCATAAAAACACTTATAGTTACGAAAATCACAAATATATATGTGTGTATGTTTGAGCTTATAGAATTAACACACATGATATAAACCTATACTAAATATACCCAAGCAATGATCTTGATCTTCATTGTAGCTCAACTTGGTACACGTTGCGGATGAAGCTAAACTTGGATCTTGAACTTGAATTGTACGATGCTTCACTCCATAATTCCGCCAACCTCCATTTGATATCGTCGTTAAAGCGCTATTCCATCCATCCTCCAACAACTTGTTTGTCTATAAAACATAGGAATGCACAAACACTAGACAAACAACATTAGTAATAAATTGTTTGTTAAACATCATCAAAACAAGAAGGCCAACAATCTCCCCCTTTTTGATGATGACAAACAATTTACAAAAAGAAATATATGCATGAAGGAAATGAATATAAGCATAGGTGAGTATCAAACAAGTATAGGGATTGCTCCCCCTATCAAAAAGCCATATAGAATATATGCGATGAAGATCATGGCAAAACATATGTGAGCAAGCATACATGAATATGCTAAAAATTTACTCACATACATGAAGATGATGAGAACACATATAAATATGTCAATATGAAAATAGTGTCTCATTAACACAAAAAATATAAAAACCATATAAAAGAATAGATTTATGAAATCAAAAGAAGAGGAACATGAGAATCATGCAAAACGTTTTCAAATGAAAACAATTCAACCAAAAGAAATCATAAATCAAAGTTTATATTCAAAAACAATGTTTGATCAATAAAGAAAAATTTTCTTTACATAACTTGATCAAACCACTCATAGAATACATTATAAAGCATATTTAAAATTTGAATCATCTATTTGTGCTTATATAATGAATTCAAAATAACAAATCAAAGCAAAATTTTCATAGCTCAAAAGTAACTCATGAACTATGGATTTGAAAAACTAAAAATCATCTTTGATTTTCAAAAATCAAGAGAGGCAACTATATCTAGCT